GTAGTTTTTCAAGGTTGTTTTAATTTTGGTCGTTTCAATATTTTTCTCTTTGGAAAGCCGAAAGCTAGCTCTGATAAAGATTAGATGTTTTGAAAACAGACTTTTGATATTTCGACCTAAAAATCCGAAGACTCATCCGATTCCATCCAAACTTGGTCAGTAAATTGCATACATGAATCCTAGCTTCCATGCCATTTTGTTTAAAAAAACGGAGATAATTTTTGTCACCGCTTTTTTGAAACTTGATGTCGAAGCTAGGATTCATGTACCTAGCTCTCATGCCAATTTTGTGGAGTTTCGAAGGTCGTTCATTTTTCATTGAAAAACTCTGGCCATTTCAGCGTTGAAACAGCTGTTCCATCGAGCTTCGCTTGGTAGCGGTGCTTTAGTCGACCCATTGACTTCTGCTAGCTAGGCAGGTGAGTGCTACGAAACATTATCCAAAAGTTCAACCCCGATGGTTTTTCATGAAGGGGTGTGTATCCAGGGTGCGTCAGCTCCACCATACGCTGAAAAATGTTTATTTTTATTACTAGTACCTTTTCTATTTTTTTGCAAGCTGAAAATGATAGTAATTTTACCTTGAAATTAGGAGATTCCGTGGCTCTAAACGCAATGTTGCAGAAATAGAAAAACTTTGCTGCAGCATTGTCGTACTTTTGTTTTTGAGCCGTGGTAACATAAGGTAAAATAGTTGTGTCGTTACTCGTATACCATTATCCAAAATTTAGTTGCGTTCTCAAACTTTGTTGCTTTGTATCGCAAGTGGTGCGAAGCTCAGCTTCGCATCTGTGTGAAAAAGTTTTATTTATCGAGGCAGCGCATACAACATGCCATCTTTCCATTTTCCTGCTGCCTAGTTTGTTTCTCACCTCCTTTACCACAAGTCACATTTCGCTGAACGCGCGTTCGATACCGGCTGAGCTGGGTGCAAGGTTTCCCAGAACGAACTCTAGAACAAATTTGACTTAATAAAACTGTTCGGCTTGTAATTCACTGGCCTCGAAAACTCATCTCCAAACTTTTCGCGAGTTTCGCCTATGAATGCCAGCAAACCGGACTTAATACTGCTGCCATGCAGCTCTCTCGGTGGCAGCTTGTCTAAGGCCGACGCGTTTAGTGCAAGACAGGAAATTGCGTCTTCCTTGCTCACTCCAAAAAACATAAACGCGTCACGCAATTTTCGCGACGTCACCACCATTCCCATTCACAAAATCTGCTGTATGTGTGTCAATGACTCCTTTCAGGCGTTGTCAGTTAGTTGCGTACCTAAAACAAAAACTATTATCTGTTATTTCGATCTAAAAATCTGAAGACAACCAAAGAATGTTTTTGGTAGTTTTTCAGGGTTGTTTTAATTTTGGTCGCTTTAATATTTTTCTCTTTGGAAAGCCGAAAGCTAGCTCTGATAAAGATTAGATGTTTTGAAAACAGACTTTTGATATTTCGACCTAAAAATCCGAAGAATCATCCGATTCCATCCAAACTTAGTCAGTAAATTGCATATGTTTATCCTAGCTTCCATGCCATTTTGTTTAAAAAAACGGAGAAAATTTTTTGTCACCGCTTTTTTGAAACTTGGTGTCGAAGCTAGGATTCATGTACCTAGCTCTCATGCCAAGTTTGAAGAGTTTCGAACCTCGTTTATTTTTCCTTGAAAAACACTGACCATTTCAGCGTTGAAACACAGATGTTCCATCGAGCTTCGCTTGGTAGCGGTGCTTTAATCGACCGATTGACTTCTGCTAGGTAGGCAGGTGAGTGCTGCGAAACATTATCCATAAGTTCAACCCCGACGGTTTTTCGTGAAGGGGGTGTGTATCCAGGGTGCGGCAGCTCTACTATATGCTGAAAAATGTATATTTTTATTACTAGTACCTTTTCCAATTTTTTTGCAAGCTGAAAATAATAGTAATTTTACCTTGAAATGACGAGATTCCGTGGCTCTAAACGCAATGTTGCAGGAATAGAAAAACTTTGCTGCAGCCTTGTCGTATTTTCGTTTTTGAGCCGTGGTAACATAAGGTAGTGTCGTTACTCGTATACCACTATCCAAAATTTAGTTGCGGTCTCAAACTATGTTCACGATGGTGATTTTTCATACGCCAGCGGAAAAATATCAAGAAGGCAGTCCTCGCATTTAGCTCTTCCATTAGGTAAGGTGTCGAAATAGTCCCAAATAGCATCTCTTTTACGTTCAGATGTGTTAATACTTGCTATGAAAACCAGGCAATCAATGCGCAACTGTTCCAGACAATGTTTGTCAATTGTAAATAAACGCAAACGCTAAAATACAGGTCAAATAAAACACATGTTTTTTATTTTGTTTAAAACATGTCTTAAGTCTGTTATAAATCTTGTTTGAAACACGTTTTTTATTTGCCAACCCTGATCTCGCTTTGATAATAAATTCAAAATTAATTGACCATTCAGCTGGTATAGAGGTAAAACACCTGCTTGAGACGACAAAATTTTGTATTTCGAAACTGTTCGTGATCTGTTTTTTTTTTCAAACTAGAAGTTTTCTGCTTTTTCGGATCATTGTGTCTGTTTGTTTTTGTTTGTCAGTTTGTTTCCAGTAGCTCGGACTCTTTGTAGTTGTTAAGCTTTCTTTTAACACTGAATGCGATTTCTAAAGCCCACTGGGGGAGGTTAATGAATTGCAAGTTTTTCCATGAATTTTAGTTTTTTTTTCTTAAATCTGCAAACACTTTGGTAAATTGGCATACCACGGACTTGTTCTGAGCATGTTTGCTTTTTAAATACCAGTTCCATGTACATTAGTGAGCTTTAGAGAGCATCTTTTTGTTTTCCAAGCTAACTAGCAAATTTTGATAAAACTTTTGGTGGCATCTTAAGGGCTGTTTGATAAAATGTGCTTTGACTTTCGGTTTGTACTAAGTTGGCACAGTTGATGCCTTTTTAATTCATCAGGTGAACCGAAAAAAAGCTGTTTGCTTCTAATATCAGTACAATAATAAAAACTCGGTTTCAGAAATTTACCAACTCAGTATATCTCGTAATTTTTGTGAAATGCATAACTTATACATAGTTTGGCTTTATGAATTCCAATTTATTGCATGCAAACTGTGTTTGGAGGCCTTAAGTTTGTTAAACTCCAAATTATTACAGGCAAAATTGTATCTATTTGTGTTTGGTTTCACTTTGGCAATTTCTTTGTATATATAGCTGCTTTATTTAAGACGATTTATTTTTAGTGTTTCGCGATAGTTAAATGTCCGTAGCCGTAAGGACAGGCCGTGAGTCTCCAGATCTCAAGGTCATAGTTTTGAATCTGATACGTAGCAAATTTTTACTTATTCGAGGCTTATTTCAACTTTTTTAGTTCAGTTTTTATGGCTGCTTTTTTGTCGTTTTCTGGTTAATGCTTGCGAAGCGCAGCTTCGCTTTTGTGTCAAAATTTTTTTGATTTTGTTTTCAGATTTACCAACTATTGTTCGGTATAGTTTCTTTGTTTTTTCTCGGTTTTTTGTTTAGTCGGCGTATTTGTTTTCGATTTTATACCTAGTCGGTTTTGTGGCATCATATTGCATCGTTCGATGAGCGAAACAACTTTATGCATGTGTCTCTAGAGGAGGTAAATTAAGCTTTTTGAAAGTTTTCAAGTTTTTTCATGAGCTTGGGCTGTTGTAACGCTTCGTTTCGCGATAGAAATGTTATTTTCAATTGTCCATTTGTCATGTTTTACAATAGTCCATTTGTCAGGTTTTTCAAGATAATTATATAAAAATTTTTGGTTGATGTAGCTTCTCTTGGCATTTTTGAATTTTTTTCGACTTAGTTTTTTTTCTCTCATTTTTTTACTGCTATTCTGTCATACTATCTTTGTGTTGCATCGCAAGTGGTGCGAAGCTCTGCTTCGCCTATGTGTTAACAATTTTTTTAAGTCTTATTCAGCGCTGTAAATTTTTTTTTCGATATTTTCCTTTCATTAAAACTCATTTGATGCAAATCAAGAGAAACCGCTAGTTTTTAGTTGATTTAATTTTTCTAAATTTTTTCCTTCAATTTTTTTTTCGACGTGTAGTATTTCGTCTCTTTGGTGTTCCAGCTTGCCATGATATGTTTTTGTTGTATGGCAAGTGCTGCGAAGCATCGATTCTGCTCTGTGTTAAAATCTCGAGTAAGTAAGTCTTGCGATTGTTTGAATTGAAATAATAAAATGATATGTGATTTTTAAATTGTTAAGTTGCCTACTAGATACTGCGTAGAAGCAGGTTTGGTTTTGACCTAAAAATTTATTCTAGTCTTTTTTGTAACTTTTTCTTGTTTTTTTTTGCTTGGCATAAGATTCCAGGCATAGCGTAATGGCATCGTGATTATAGTATCTAATGTCTGTTGCAATGGTGTTTCGCTAATGTGTTTTTTCGAAGAAGGTAGGTGGAGCCATCTAAATATCGAACTAGTGAAGTACTTTAAAAGACGTTTCATTCGAATTTACATAATTTTACTCCGATTCATTTTTTGATTTTTTGAGCATTATATCAATTTAGTGAGCTCAGATTATCGTAATATTTCTGTGGTAAAGGTTAAAAACCGTATCTAGTCCAAACTTTTGCACAGCAGGCGATATTTTGAAAATAATGGCTTTGAAGGGCATCTTTATACCAATTAGGTGTTTAGGCTTTTTCGTATGGTGTCGATCTCTTCAAAAATGGGATCCCCTCTCAATTGTTACCGTCACGCAACAATACGGGAGATTTCGCTCATTTCACAGCCGTGCATCTAGAAAATTATGTCTGCTATCTTTTAATATTACAATTTAAAAACAAGAAAACAATTTTTACGATAAATTAAGGGATAAACGCCCTGTGCCTTTTGCTCAGGTATGGGTGCTCTCGGTTCCATTTGAATTCATTAACTGTTTGAATATAGCTTTCCAATGGTACTGTCTGTATTTTGAATTTTGCTCACTTTCCGCTGACTTTTTTTTTATTTTTTCTATGCTGAACTTGAATTTGTAACTGAACGGAGGTATTCATAAAATATATTCGTGTAAATTTAAAGTTCAATTCCTCAATGATATATTGCTATTTAGTTTTTGCCATTTCCACGAAAAGTGGAAGATGATCTGCAGAGAGAAGGCGTGGCAGAGTTATGTCTAGGGGGCACCCCCATGTGAACAGATCCACTCACTTGGTCGCACAGCGAGTCATTCGACCTGGTCAACAGGTGAAAAGAAACATGATTTGCATTCTGCTGTTGTAGCTGCTGCTGCTGTTGATGATGTTGTTGTTGTTGCTGCTGCTGTTGTTGCTGTTGATTGGTTTGCCCGCTGTTTTCAGACAGTTTTCTCCCGTTGACCGGTGTCTGAATAAATTGCACATTCTTTGACGCCTGTTTTCTCAACGTATATGCATTGTTAGCTTGAGACGATGATAGTACGGAATTGTTTCGTGGAAGTTTGTTGCTCAGAATTGAGCTTGGAGATGATGATTGCATCACGTTTTGATCGTAGGCTGTAAGACTACTAATTCTTCCCTGTTTTGAAGAGTTCAAAGAGTTTCGTCGGTCTAAATCGTCGACGCTTTTTGCTCTGATGGGCCGAAATGAGTTTGTAGACAAGCACAAGAGTTGATTATCATCGTATTTGTCAGTTTTTGAACTGTTTTTGCGTTCGTTAACTGCGCTTTCATCTCGTGGTGCTTTGGACATTTCATAATACGAAGAAGACCTCAAATCGCAGTTGGTGCTCAAGTTACTGTTAGCTGTAGGAAGGTAGGCCAATTGGTATTTCGAAGGAATGAACCTATTTTTGAGAACTGTAAGCATCACCCGCACCCCTTCGCTAGATGTTTGAGAAGTGCAGTACTCTTGAATTGGGTGTGTTGGTTTATGAAATTGGTAATTTAATCCCATGAAGAAACAGTTTTGGCACAAGTTGAAATTGAAGCATTTCATGCAGCGGTATCTGAACCCTTTTATGGGGTACGTAGCACATACGGAGCATTTGTGTTTATGCACCGTTTCCTCCGACATGGTGATTCGGTGAATGAGTGATGCCCAAACGAGACATTGGGGTTCCTCATTCACCCAACTCATCCAGTTTCGTAAATCTATCGTAACCATGCCGCGACAAAGTTCTTCTGGCGTCGCTTTGGGTTTAAATGAGAGACACGACTGGACTGCACCCTCGATGTTGAAGGTGGTACTGTTCATGAAATCGGAAGAGGACCTGGAACATCGGATACTGCTGGCGGAAGAGTCTCCAGATGCCTGGGAATCCGTTGGAGAATCGGGAGGGGTAATGAAACTCAGAGGTACCTGTAGACACAAAATTTTCATATCTCGACGTTTCTATTTAATATACTCAATGTTTTAAAAAACCCGAAAAAATTTTGGCTTTTATTGGGCTGACGGATTTTGTTATAACTAATGAGTTGTTGGCAAAATTGTTATTTACGCTAATTGTTACATGACCTTCAGTTGCATTTCAAAGCGGGAAGGATCTGAGGATGCTGACCTTTTCATACCTCTATAGCTTGCTACCTTGCGTATAAGATAGATGCTAGTGGTCTTGTTTCACAAAAACCATGTTTTCTCTGACTGAATTTACGATTGAAGATTGAATCTTTATTTTACCTGAATTATGTCGTATAGAAGAATGGATAACCTTGACTGATCCAGAATCATATGTTCATCGGCCACTAATTTAAACAAATAGTAGAATTTTTCGGAGGGAGTTGAGTTGCTCATGAGTATCAAGGCAGTGAGTAGAGAGTCGAAGCGAAGCGAACCCGACCTCCTGGGATCATACATTCTGATAATCCAATTCATGAGGAGATCAGAAACCAGAGGTCGTTTTGAGGCCTTGACAAACTCGCTGTAAATCCGTTTTAGAATTTTCTCGAGGTGGCTTACAGTAATGACAGCCGTTGTTGCATAATCCATACATATTTCAAGAATATCTTCAGCTTTGAGATGGGATAATATAAAGAATTTTTGTGTCGCCCTGCATTTGAGAGCTATTTTGTAAGCTGACAACTGCACTTCGCGTGTCTTTTCCTCGACGTTTCGAAGGTGCATGAGGAATAGCGGGTGGTCCCACTGGGTTTTGTTGGCCGAGGTGTCCAAAAAATAGGGCACTCCATTTGATGCTACTTTTCGTTTCCAGGGAGCACTCATGGTATAGCTAAGGTCCAGGTCCTTCTCCTGAATTAATAACTTACTTGAAACAAAATAATTTTTATAAGAACAAGTTCTAGCTACTTATTACAAAAGTGTGTCAATTTTGAAAGCTCTCTATGAATGTTATACAATGGATATTTAGTTCTTAGAAACTTGCTCTTTCCGTTGTAAATAAAAAAAGCGAGAAAGAAAGCATGTATTTCTCGAGGTAATTCAAATGTTACTTTTTGAAGCGACAGAAAAATAAATATCCGTTAAGATTGAAACTCTCGTGCACTTGCCTTGATCATGTAGCCCTGCATGTCGGAACGAATATCTCGCCACCTGCTGTTGATGTTGGCAATGCGGTCGGAAATGTTTTCAGACAAGTTTACCCCTTTGGCCAAGTTGTTCACCTCTTTGATCTTTTCCGCTACATCTAACAGTTGGAAGTCGAACGGAACATAGTCGTCGTCAAAAATATCCGCTGCTGGTCGTCGTATGGTAGAATTTGTGACGTCAGAGGCAGATACACTTCTGCTGTTGAAGTTGTTTTTGTCCGTGCGGAATACACTTCGTTCCCACTTGCGTCTTAAAGTTCCTCCTCCGCTGCTGCATTGAGAGCCGGTGACATTGTGTATTCGATCCGACAACTCGCTCTTGTGTATGCTGTGTGGCTTAGCCTCGTGTAAAATGCGATGTAATTCGGACTCTATGTCTTCTAAAAGACTGCTGATGCTCAGAATCTAAAATGGTATTATACTATTCGGTATGCAATAGTGTGTATTGTGTGCGGCCTTTAATCCTGTGTGATCACTTTTTTGTTGATAGTTAGCAGGTGTAAAATGTCAATCGATAAATAAATATGGCGTAACGCCGCTTCTTTGACCAGAGTCTGAATTTGCATATATAGATAATAAACGGAAAATTAATCGTATAACTCAATATAAATCATATCTCAGCCGGTTTTCATGCCATAAAACTAAAAACAGAACTGAAAGCCATAAACATCAAATCTTTTTTTGCTCCGAACACCAGGGGTGGGAAGGAACCATGGCGTAGGGTGTTTTTTTTTGTCCCAGTTTTGCCTACCTCAAGGAAACCTCGACGGTTATTCAAGTGTGGTGTCAAATAAATCCTTTTAATTGTGATTTAGATTCTTATTGGATCCCATGGTCCTCTAAATTTGAGGAAATGTTCCAACGTGTAAGTTATGCGTAATTCGGCAAAATTTTCTTTAAAAAAAACAATAATTCGAGGAGTTTCCCAATTTTTTTTGCCTAAATCTTATAATTGCTGTCAACTTACATTTTCTACTGTCTGTTTGCAGCACTGTTTGTTCGTCGTTGAGCTTATGGTATTGTGAGATAAAGTGGTGTCTTTGCTGCCGCTGCTGTTGTTGTCGTCGTCATTAATATTCGTACCACTTCCCACCCCGAAATTATCCAAATTACCCCTCCCCCTATTCACCTCGCTCATCAGCTCCCCAAAGTTGCCTTCGTTCCCGCTAAAATCCATCGCGTTTTCCATGTTACCACTACCGTTTGAAGACGAATCGATAGTGTTTGAGGCGCTGGGCGTTTTACCTCCACTGGGGCGTGACCAAAAATTAAGCGACGTGTCATCGTATTCCCGATGAGTGGCTAAGCTGCTGTCGTCTTGCGCTGAGCTCGGTGAGTGCTCAGCTTTGCCCGAGTGATACCCGCTGCTGGCAAGACTGAAACTGTTCTGGTGTGTCGTCGCCTGGGTATGCATCTGGTAACTTGATTCGAGTGGCTGCGAGTTCAAGTTGTAGTTTTGTTGTGTTGGCTGAGTGTTCAAATGGTAATTTTGCTCTTGGGTATGGTGCAGGTTTATTGACAGTGGGTTGGTGGAGCACATTACCTTAGGAGGTGGCAAGGGGCTTCGCCTAGGAGAAATTTCCCTCGAAGTTGGCCGGCTGTTGTTGTTATCTATATGCAATTGGTTCTGCCTTTGAAAACTGGAAACATTCATTTTTGATGTTGTGTAGTTATCAAGTAAATCTATGTTGTTACTTGAAGATGATGTAGAGTTGGTTTTGGAGGAGGTTAAGTTTTTGAGAGATACGAACTTTGGGTTAACTTCGCATTGCGATACAATGGGACTAGGTTGTTCGCTTGAAGAGTTATTTAGTATGAAGGACGCTGTATTAGACTTGATAGTAATGCTATTACTAGTTGTGTAATTTTGGGTTAGACTGTCTATAATATCGTTGATCTGGTTGGTAATACTTCCCAGCTCCAATGTGCTGTTCTTACCACTGTTGTTGATGCCATTATCTTGGTCGTGGTTGTTGTTTTCGTGCTCTTTATCATCAGTGCTGGCGTTGTTTATGACTGGTGAAATGGAACAGTTTGCGGAAGTTCTATTGTAAATATCGGCTCCTTTGTCTCCGGCGGCGGGAGAATAGGTGTAACTGATTTTGCCTCTCCCCTCTTTTTCCAAAGTAGACTCTGAATAATAGTTGGACGATGTATTATTAACTACTGGCGAAGATAGCTCTTTCAGTGTATTTTGTCCACTTGGAGTCTGGTGTGAATTTTGATCGCTTTGGACTGATCTGTGCCTGAAACTATCAGGACTGTTACCAAGAGATAATGGAATGAAATCTCGACGCCTGTTTTCGCTCGGAGATTGCTCCCATTCCAATTTAAAACCAGATACTGGATTACGATTGTCGCCTTTCCTTTGTAGTGGAATTGTACTGTAACTACTTGAGTTGCTTGTCGCACAACCTGGAGAAATTAATTGGGAATTTAAACTGGTTTTGTTTTCGATTAAAATGGGAGCTACTGTGCCTTCGCCCAAAGCAGGGTTCGATACTGTTTTCCCAGCGATGAAATCTAAATTATTTCCAGTTTCTGAATTTTCAGATGAGTTTTCATAACCGCGTGGCAATGATTGTGATTTGAGATGGCTAACGGGGGGAATCTGCAGCAAGTTAGAGTCGAGACATGTGCTTAAGTTTCGTTTTCGAGGTTCAGGTTTCGGTTTGTGTGAGACCGAAGTGATTCTCGGAGATGGTTGAGAAAATGCACGGAAGTGAGTGAACGTTGGCGTCTGCTGTTTTATGCTTTGAATACGGTTCTTCTTGGTGGTAGCAGTGTCTGCTTCCTGACTTCTAATTGTACTTGTCGAGTCGGAATCGGTTTCTGGAAGTGTTCTCCCGGGTTCCCTGGCAAATGGAGAATTAGAGTCCCAGGAGTATATAGGAGTTGCAGTTGATGTTGGTATTGGTATTGGTGTGTGTTGGTGTATGCTCCCACTAGAAGTAGTGCTGCAATTGTTCCCACTTCTTTCCTCCCTTTCTTCCTTTTGACTACTTAGTTCTCTGCAATAGATTAAAAAGGGGGATTATTATAAATGGCTTACCTTAAGTAGTACTAACTAGAACTGGTTAACGCACTGATGCGATACCACTGATGCCACGGCTAGAGTTAGATTAGATTAAAAATTAGACTGTTGTTTTGTTGGCTGGTTGGGTACTATTACTTCACTCCCTTGGTCGAATTTTTTGTTTTATTTGTGTGGCAATGAATAGGTGTGTATTTATGCGTGGTGGGCATATTTGTAAAGAAAGATAGAGCGGAGCCGCCAGGCGGCCAGAGCTGCTCTGGCAACTAGTGCTGTTATGTTCTGTTCAGTTGGTTGTTTTTATTTACAATAACTGCCACAGATCAGTGTAAAAAGCTGCAGCCGGCGGCTACTCAAATGAATAACGGATGGCTAGGGATGGTCGTAAACAATAAACCTACAGACAATATAGACCGAAAATCTGGGAGACCCTAAATTAAATCTACCATCTCAGTCCCGTCCGCCCGTCCGTCCGGGTGAGTTATAAAGAGTTTATGAAGTTACTATTGAGATTATAACAGCAAACAGTTCATTTAGAAACATCATAAGCACGTGGACAGAACTAATCGTAGATTAAAATGCATTAGCAGGGACCAGGTCATTGTATTTGTTGCTTTATTCAAACGTCTGTTGTTGACCCTGTTTGTCCGGTGGCGTTTAAATAGCAAAAACAACCTCGCTCTGTACTTTCTAGTTCTGATGTCATAGTGTTGATTAGTGTTTGTGCAGTCAACTATTCAGTTTTTAATACATGTTATATTTCTCTAATTCTCTGGCTGTTTTTTTTAGGACTTATATTCTGGGTTGTGCCGGCAGTTGTTCTGTTCTAATTTTTTCAGACGGCTTGAATTAGAAAAAAAAATTATTTCCCACCGTTTTTCCCAAATTTTTGTCTGATCTGGAATATACTGTCTCTGCAGTGGGGGGCGAATACAGCGTTCAATTTTGGTGGACCTTAAATTGAAAATTTGCACGCTGGGTCGACTTTGCTCCATAATTTTTCCATAAATAATAAAGGAAAATTTTATCTAATTAGTCACCCGATTGGAATATACTGCCATTAAAAACGATTGCTAATAAATAAGAATAATAACAAGTATTTAACATTATTTTTCGTACAAATCAATTAAAGTTTTTGTATTAAAGGAAATATGTGTAAACATCTTGAAATTAAAAAATTACAGACTGGAAGAAATGTTTCAAATATTTCAATATCTGTTGACATAATGGAGTTTTAAGGAAGCTAACAATTTTATTTTCCAATATTGTTTGTTGATAATGAAACTGAATACCTATGTACATTAAACATAAATAAATCTGTCTTTCTTTCTTTCTCAGTCTCAGATGAGGCGCAAAAATAGCTTGTGTAGATAACCTTACACCGACTTGAGATAGCGCGCGGGGGAAAATTGGCGAATAGAAATGGCATTCTGAAACAAATATTGGTTTTCACTAGACGCACGGAAGGAAGCTAGTGCTAAAATGGAATAGTGAAAATAATAAATATTTGCCCCAAAATCAGGGCTCCCTAATTGAGCTTCAGACGAATTCAAATCATAAACACAGCAGTTTTTCATTATCTATCAAAAAATGTGAGCGTTGAATGGTATTTTACGGGTTTTGTTTGACACCACAACGAAGTTGCGTTGGGCGGTGGTGCTCGTGTTTGCTTTCACAACTAATTTCACTTTTCAAAATAGTTTTCCTGTTTTTCATGATTAGGGCTCGTCAGTGCGATAACAATAATTATTTCGCCTAATTTATGATGGACCAGATTAAAGCGGCACATGTTCCGATATTTAAATTAGTGTTACGATTGTACTTGGCTCGATTTTCTTGTTGGGAATAAAGGCTATTTTTATCACTTTTTATGTGAACCTGGGGTACGGGTAACAATTCTGATAAAGCAACTGTTTTCTTTCAAAACAACAAAAGCGATTGACTTTACTCTCTAAGTGAGAGGATGATTTCCACGGTGCTTATGACAACTCAGCCGTAAGAAACAGAAAGAAGATTAAAGTGCGTTTTTTTAAGTAATGGCGAAGTAAGGTTCCTTTTGAAATTCAGGTTTTCTCCAAGTTGAAAAGTTGAACTGAATTTCACAGACCAGTGACTCCCGAACGGTCTGTTTTTTTTTCAAAATTGCGTGCTATCTTGAACAAAAAATGCCAGTTGTATTTGATAGTAAGAATTTTAAAATAGTTTTTATATTGATCGTACTGCTGAGAAAAAACTACACGCTTTGCTGTGCTGTTTTAGCCTGGAAAAGAGTATGAAGTAAAATTTTCAATCTGGCTTTGTATATTTAGCTTCAAAGAGATGACACTTAAATTCGGTCATTTAGAAAAAACACGTCGCTTAATGAAAAAGTGGTGCTTGTAAATTTTTATCATGGAAGCGGAGACATGTCAGAATGATTCACTAATTAGTTAATAAGCAAGTGTACAATTATTCCTGTTTGATAAAAACAGGTATTATGAAAGCGCATGAATATGGGTTTAATTATTTTTGAGAAGCTTTGGAAAATTTAGTTTTTCAAAAACTACTTTACCGATTTTTTAGAAAGTGGTATCATCGGAAAGATCGCCCAGTCTCCTGTGTGCCTGCATATTCCCCTTGTCTCTTTTTTTATACTTCCCTTTCTACAGCCTTCGAAGTGGGGTGATTATTTGACCCTGATTTTTGAATTTTTTCATTTTGCGAAAATTACCTTCCCAAATCTCAGAATTTGGTTTTGGTTCCAATAGAAAGAACAGGCTGTGCGAAGCGCCCCTGCATAAACGGGTAGTCCCAAACTTCTTTCAACAAGCGGGAAATTTGAACAAAAATGCTGCCTCTGGGAAAATTTTAAATTCTCAAAAAATTTCACTCGTATTTCATTAGAGAAAGGTTTTGGGTTAGCTTCAATTTTTTAGTTTTTGAAATTACCCATTTCCCGGATTAGTACAACAAACTCAAAAATTATCAAACAGGTACCTCCAGCTTTAGCTGGTCTCCTAGTTGCTTTTGTGAAAAAAATGAACACATTGATGATATTACAATTCAGCTTGTAGGTACCAATTTTTTTCTTAATTCTTAGAGATGTAAAGCTAAGATGCATAAAAAATTGTTACTTGAAGCTGAAATATATTTTTTTAAATTTTGAAGCTAACTTGCCTAGTTACAAATCAAGTTAGTCGATGTAAGAGTGTGTAATGTCAGCCCCAGGCAGTGAATAGGCATCCAAAAGCTCGAAGCATTTACCTTTAGTTTTGTCTTAATGACAGATTTTTGATATAATGATTCCAATTCGGACTGGTAAAAGTGGGCTTAGAACTGTTTGAAATGGTTTAAGTTGTTGGCCGGCTTAAGTGGTCGGAAAAGTTATGAAACGTTTTTTTTAGGTCGGCCAAATTGATTTTCGGAGCTCTCCCAAACCACTATAAAGACAATAATTTGACCAAATTTTCTGCGCTGCCAAAAAAAGCGTTTTGGGGCACTTTTTGATAAATTTCGACCAAAAAATTGCGTTTTTTCGGCGCGCGCTCCCCCCTCTAAAAATTAGTATAGATTTGCGCCAAATGCGCCTTTCGAAAAATTTTCAGGTCAGTTAGCCTCAAATAAATATTTCAAAATTGAACAAAGGGGGCCCTTCGGGTGTCAGGTGGTCGAATCCCTCCTAAATCCGCTACTGAAAGCAAACAAAGTATAATGTTTTATTCACTATTAGACGAATATTTAATCACTATTTTATACAGTAGTTAGTCTTATTTTAGTTAGATTTGAGGGCAAGAAAGTTGTGAAACAATTTTTCGTTTACCGCCTAATTCTTTCAATTACCCATTTCTTTTGGAAAATCAAACAGACAGATCAGCTGCTTGATGTATTTTAAATGGAAAGCCTGATTGTATTTTTTATATCGCACAGTTCAATATATTTTTTGATCAAATTTTTCAAAGTGGGTTAGTTTTTTGCCTAAAGAGTTAGACATGAAAGAGATTTTTTAGCGATTTGTTTTTCTGTAAACCTCGAAATCAAAATTCAGTAAAAACTAATTCATTGACACTTTTCCTACTGCCTGTTGGCTTTATTTCAATGTCTGAAATTCGTTTCTGTCGTTTGTGTCTTCGAAGTTTAGCTTTGCTTCGGTGTTAATATATTTTTCGTTGTCATGGGAAAAAATCAAAAGTAAATTATGTAAAAATACCCAGAAGTCGTTTAAAGGATTAAAATTTTACTAAGTTTAGACTTAACTAAATTTTAAATTATTTTGTATGAATACCTTTCGAAGAAAACAATGGAGCGCATAATCTTTTTTTCTCAATCATTTCTGAGAATGATTTTTGGTGTCTAATTTACGGTGGCCAATTTTTAGTGGCTGCAATAACATGAGTTGCTGATAGCTTAACACATTATCACTGCATGTTCATTTGCAAAAGATTGGTTAACGATTCTACCTTCGATCAGTTTTAGAAGCGGGACATACATTTAAATACTGGCTTAAATGATATTTACACTTGCGAAGCGAGTGTATTCGTACTAACATTCTTTTTTCCAACCTAAGTCGTAAATTTTGGTGCCACTTTTAACGCACCTTTACAGGTTGTTCATTGCATCCGCTTTGACATTCGAGTAGTAATAAATTAACACAATGTATTTTTAATTCATCAAATGAACCGACAAAAGTGATTTGTTTCAAAGAACATCACAAAAATAGAAACTCGATTTCTGAAACTTTGTAACTCAATATATCTCACAAATTTTGAAATGCGTAGTTTGTTCATAATGTAGCTTTATGCCTTGCGATTTGTTACATGCAAACTTAATGTGGATGCCTTCAGTTAGTTATATTCCAAATTATCATTTAATAAATTGAGTCTATTTGTATTTGGTACCACTTTTGCTGAATGGCATTGGCAATTTAATATAGCTGCTTTTATTGTGTCTAGTGTTTGTCGATTGTTAAGATTGCGTGGCTGAGTGGATAGTGCGTGAGACTCAAAATTTCTTGATTACAGTAGGTCGCAGATTCGAATCCTACACGTAGACGAGTTTTCGCTAATTCGAGGCTTATTTCTACTTTTCTTATTTCGCCTGATAAAGCTGCTTTTTAGTCGTGTTTTCGCAATTGTTTGCGAAGCGCAGCTTCGCTTTTGTGTGAAAATAATGAAATTAGGGCGTCGATTCTTTTTCTCCATTCCCTCGCCCTTGCGATTAATGATTCTGAAAAGCTTAAGTTTCAGACAAAATTCTTCCGACACTGATTTTTTGAAGCATATTTCCGAATCACGACTGAGACGAGTTCAATATGTTAACTGTTTTTTTTTTAGTTTTCTTTTGTTTTTTGTTACATAATCTTCAGATGTTACTGTTCCGACTTTCGAAGAAAGTGACGGAATATTTGTGGTCGGTGTGGTTTTTCTTCCTCCAGACCATTCGACTTTTTAGCTACCAATTTTTGATATTTATTTTTTTTACCTTAAGGCAATCTTACCCTTCGCTTGTTACCCTGAGCGAAAGGCAATGTTACCCTGAGCTCAAGTTTAAAAAATTGTTTTTCCTGTGATTATTTGTCATCATCCTAATTGGCTAATTCGAGATCATTAATGCTCGATAATCGGAGATTTAGTCCGTCTTAGAAATTGTTCCAAATTAAACTGTAGCAGGCTATTTTGTCTACTCAATGCGTTGCCAAATATTGTTAAGATCTTTTTTCTACTTTTTTTTTAGCGTGCGGGGGGATAATTTTCAAAAAAAATCTCATTCTCTTCTATGGGTTCAATTTTTTTTTCATATGATCACAACAATATTTCAACAGTTAAAGTGCTCCATCGATAATTTTTTACAAAAGTTATGCGAGGCCGGCCAAATTGGTCTTTTTAAATGAATATTAGGCTCAAATATTGATACGAAGTTCAAAGCGGTCTGTTTTTGAACATTTGAAGAGCTGATTTTGGAGAGAATTTTGTAAATTGCTTTCAACCATCCTTTTAATCAGTCTGGGTCTTATCTCAAACTAAGCGCCAATATTAATGACTCAAATGAATATCCCCAATATGTTATTATCAACCACCAAATAATGTAAATTAATATAATTCAACGGATATAAATTTTGTCAGATGGAAAGGAAAATTGTTTAAAAATTGCATAATACACAGTTATTGACTATATTTACACTAGGTATTAAACATGATGTTTTTTATTTGCTCGAATTATAAGTTGATGATGCGGTTAAAGTATCAATGGGTAGTTTTTGCCGTCTAATCGGACCCAATTTGAAAGAAATTTCGGCCCATATTCGCAAAAATAGAAAGAAAAATGAAAGAAAATTCAATTATCAGACTCCGTCCTTTTCTTCTCCAGTGTCTTGCATCTTTTTCTATTAGCCAGCCTCTTTTAGTGGATTTTATTGTTGAGAACTAGAGTGAGTTGCTTGTTGAGACATCTTGAAAAGGTGTTAAGGGCTATCGGAGAAGATATAGATTTCATAATGTGGCCATTGTTGAAAAAGTATTCCGCGCCTAGATCTATTCAAAGGTTTATTGAATTTGAAATCCGACATGCCTAATTGACATGACTGCGTCACACGCCACAAATATGTGATCAAACTTACCAGGCCAGAGTTGTTGTTATTTTTCTACCTAGGCGTGTCTTTTTCTCCAGACAATTCAGGTCACTTGATGAATACTGATGAGTATTTGAGTTCGGGTAAAGTATTAAAAGAATGAAGAAGTTAGAATGTGGGTTTGCCTTCCTTCCCCATATGCGCATGTCTGCAGTGACTTGTAAGCTGCAGAGTGAATTATAACGAGGCGGAGTCGCCAGATTGGGCGGAAGATGGTTTAGATGAACTATGAATTAAAAGTTAGGAGAGGTTTGAAGGTACTGCAGAATGGGTTGGGAGGGATGTGTTTTGAATATTTAGGTGGGTCGATTGGTTGGATGCTAGGATAGGGTTGGATAGCTGTTGATGTTTTGTGTCGTGGTGCTGTGCTGTGCCGTGCTGTGGTGTGGTGTGGTGAGGGGTAAATGGAGATAGGAGGTGAGGCCGCCTGCTGTTGGTGGACAAAGCAGAGTGCAAATAAAAGACTATTGAAGGGGGCGATGGAGGAATGAAGTAATGAATGAGGAAGGGATAAGATACTGTTTATTTGGCGCTCTCTCCTCTCCTCTCTCCCTGTCGCATCACTTGCTTAATGTGCTTGATTATTAACTAGCTGAGTGGTGTGAAATAGATGGAGGAAATTACTCTAATCTACCTAAAGCTTGCTCAAAAAGGAGGCACCAACATCTTTGCTTCAAATCGAATACAGAGAATAAAACCTAAACACCAGATGCGGTTTCCTACTTCTTACTTTATTGAATTGTCTGCGGAAAACAATCATTTAATTTGTTTTATGGAAAATTTATAACCTTTGTCGCCGCGTTCAAATATTTTCGAACAAAAGAGGCGTGTCCTAAATCATGATTTGGAAAAGAAAAATAGGCGCGAAAAAGTTGACCTAGATTGAATATATTGATTGACGATTTATATTTAAATCAAATAAAAAGACAAAACTGTATTTGCTTTTCTTTATTACGCTATTTATAAAAATTACTTGAAGGGGATGACCAAACGCTCCCTCTCAACTTGCTGACAATAAATCAGAAAAAAGCTAAAACGATTTAAAAGTTTTCGATTTCGTTTTTTTGAAACAATGAGTGTGTTGGCCAACATGGAAACACAGTTTGACCGTTGAAAAAAAAATCAATATTTAATTTTTCTGGAAAATCTAGCATTTTATATAACAAAAATCATGCATGCATCTTATCAACTGGTCTTGAGGTCAAAGGAATTATGACCCTTGAATTAAGAAATCGATAATCAATATTTGAGGTTCCATTTGTCAAAATTTGAGTTTCAAGTGTTTTTTTGTATTTATCTCATGAAGGTAGTTCAGGTTTATTCCTTTTTTGTTTTTTTTTAGAACTTGGCAACGAGACGACGAGTATCGACGCCTAGCCGTTCAGAAGCTTGAAATTGTAAGCTATTGAATGCTATGACAAGCAAAGTGGCGGAAACCTCAAGAACAAGAAAGGAAGGCATTTGATAATTCGTAAAAAGGAGGATGACCTTGCTTAGTGGGTTGCAAAAAGTTGTCCCGCTTTTACGGGGGATTCATAAAGGATAATCGGGATTACCGGGCAACGTTGATGACTTTGCCGATAATTATTAAAGCTAATGATTGTATACGCAAAAGTGAGAAGCTAGTGCATATATTTATATACATACCTTTCAGCCTCTCGGGATGGTAAATGTCTCAAGCTAATCAATGGTATAATCTATTCAACTTCCGCAATACGGTCTAGAGCCAAGAACTCAAAAGGGTACTTCAAACGAAGTCAATGAACCACATGTATCCGATGAAATATCGATTCCTTCAAATTCAGGAGCTTTCTCAACTGTAAAAATTAAACAGATAAATGTTCAAGTATTTTAAAACCGATATAAATCGAATGACCACAAAGTAAGGAAATGAATAACCAAATGTTGCATCTTGCAATGGTAAGTTAGAAAATCTATTTGACTGCTTGAATTCTTAGTTTTCATTATTTCATTTGGATTGATTTTAGCTCCAGCTTTTTAATGAGAAAAAGGACTTACTATTTCTCCGAAGAAAAGGTTTTGAAACATATGGTGATTTCAGAAGTGCCATGTAAAGCAACTTCATAGCTGGCGAACACAACTTGAAATTCATTGATAAAAAAGACATAATTTTTGTGGTACTGGATAATATAAGACTTTTTCAATGGTGCCCTTTTTCAGCCACTCCTAACTACTGTGAAATATCCTGCAACTTTATTTTAGTTGCTGAGTGTCTGATAGATCAATTGAACCTTTCAATTATGCTTATTATGCTGAAATATTCCAATGAATTGGTTGCTGAGTTGAACACAATTTTTTCGACTAAATTATTTTTGAATCCAAGTACTTGTGTCGAGTTAGTTCAATCTCGCTACTTTAGGAAAAATAACGAGGAAGCCAAATGACAGATTTTACCCTTCGAATATAAAAAACGGTTACATTCAAGGAAAAGTGGCACAGAAAGCGTTTAATATTGGTTTTTAATTAAGCCACAATGAATCGATGGATTTATCGTTTTTTTTAGCTAGTGTGCTTGTTTTCGGCGAACGTCTAAAACTTGACCTCGCTCTTTTTTCTATTTCTATGGTTTGACTTAAAAACTTGATCGCGCTAATTTTTCCTAATTCGTTGGTTTGACTTAGAAATCTGTAAGAAGTTGAAATTGCTGTTGTTATTTTTCAATTCGTCTAGTAATGCGGTTGCTTTTTCACCCTAAGAGCTGGACTCGACTCCCGGTCAAACTTAGTATTTTTTTTCAGTATGTATGAAATTGAAATTTTTTTACCAGAAAAGTTTGACTTGTTTGTTTGTCTGCTTCTTTATTTGGTTTTTGTCGGCTTTATGTTGTTTGTTAGCTTTTTTTGTTTGTCTGCTTTATTAGTGATTTACGTCGCATGTTTTATTAGCTAGCTTGCAATGCTGCGCTTGCGTTGTATCGCAATTGATGCGAAGCTCTGCTTCGCCTCTTTGACTTGAAGCCTTCTTCAAAGTCGACCTCAAAATGAATTCTCCAAGAATGAGATTTAAATGGCGCGAAATGGCCGACTTGTTGTTTTAGAGATTTGGTTTCAAATTTTCCAGCTGAATTAAAATACTTTTCAGATCGTGGTATTTTTATATTTATCATTTAATATTCAATTTATTTAAATGTGAAATTATGTGCCCACTTAATTTACATAAGATTTTTTGGCTCTTATCCAGTTCCCCCCTTTCAAAATAACGAGTTTTTTTGTTTGTTTTACGTGTTATTACGGCTAAATGAGTGATGGTACACTGTAAAGTATGAAGAACAAATCTGTTCAAAATTGTCGATTTGTTGACCACGCAAAATTTCATTGCATTATGACAACGTTAAATAGACTTTTCAAAAGCGAATTTGAAGGGGGGGAATGGAAAAGATTTTTTCAACTTGAATCGAGCAATTTAAACTGTAAAAACTTAAATTACTCCGGCGGTATTCGATCCGACGCGAAAGTACAGAGCTTACTCATGATAATTAATTTCACAGTTCCGCGGAAAAAATAAACAATCTAAATTTTCACGACAAATTCGATGAATTTTTTTAGCAAATAGATATGCCCAAAAAATTGGTTTCGAACTTTTGGCTGTTATTTTTTGGCTGATTAGCATTCTGAAGCCTTCATAACCTTCCTTTTCAATTTGCGCTTGAATTAAATTATCAAAGCCTCAACAGGTTATCTGGTGAGAAAAGTTTTGTTAAAGTTTTAACCTTAAAGAAAAATATTCCTGAGCAAAATACGTTTTTTTTTTCGCGTGGTGTTTGTATTCGGCGAGATAGTTCTACAGAAGCTCAAATCGAATATTGCTTTCTTCCTGCAACATGTCGACTGCCCCAGGAAATGCGTCTGTAGCGGGGAACAGTAGTAGTTCAAAGCATAATTTGAGATTTTACGAGCGCCAGAATGTTCCTCGAAGCTTAATTTACAAGCTTTGCGTTTTCCGTTCTATTCTGTTTCGTAAGTAATTAGCTGGATCTATAACCGTTGCTTATGTGTCCAAGTGACTTTAGGCAGGGGCGGATCCAAACCCCCCTCAAGGATTTGACTCCCTGCCGACCCAAAGGCGAAACGTCCCGTCCCCCATTTGGTACTTCTTAAAAAATCCATTTTTTGCCGACCGACCCTAAAGTTTTTCTAAAGGCGCCTCCGGTGGCGGGGAGCGCGCGCCAAAAAAACGCAATTTTTACAAAATTTTCCAAAAGTGCCCAAAACCGGCTCTTTTGACCTGCTGCGCATTTATGCATGCTGCGCAAAAATCGAGAAGATCCTAGATTCACCCCTTACTACAGCGCTGGTTTTTGTTGAAACATTTTCTTCAAACTTACTTCTTTTGGAAATAAATAAAAAAAATGAGTTTTGGATTTTTTTTGCGCGGGTCATAGTTATCAAATTTTTTTTGCCCACTTCGAAGATACGCTGTGTACTCTTTTCAGAAAAAATGTTAATTCGATTGTAGGTTATTGTGTTTCAAATAATTCTATTTATTTTGATTTTGCCAGTTTTTGTATCATGTGTGGTTTTCCGAGTGTAAAAAAATTTCAAGCTTTTACATTTTAGGTCATTTTCAGCATATGTGTTATCATTTTTTACACAAGTAAAGCTTGAGTTATAGTATGACCTCTTTTTTCCCAACCTAAGTCGCAATTATTGTTGCGACGCGAATATTTTCTGTGACAAAATGTGTTCATTTTGAAAGTGTTCATTTTGATCAATAACCAGCTATTAAGTACAGCCAATGCTAAGGATATTAACGCAAACTATTATTTTACAAATAGCACTTTAGCTTCAACGTATCATGGATCTATAGCGTAAAGGTAGGGAAGGAGACCTGGAAAAAAATTAGAGGGTTCGAACCTGGGCAGGGTCGAGGGTTTTTAATGAACTTTTTCGTATACTAGTTAAAATGTGTCCGCTCTATAAATTAAGGCACGTTAGTTGGTTTATTTTTTTTTTAAATTGACTGGTTTTGCTAATGCGCATAATTGGCTTGCGTCATAATTGTCACTTAGCAATTATGTAGACTCATAATTGGCGTGCGTCACCTAGGAAGTTTTGTAGACTCAAAGTTACTCATTCAGCTTTTCCCAGTTGCGTCATCGGTCATATTTTTGCTTGTGTATGCGAAGTGCAACTTCGCCTGTGTAAAAAATATATTTTTCATTCACGCATGTTTTTATTGACCAAATCACACTCAACGCATAGTTGCCGATCATTTTAAATTAAGTTTTTTCTGATGAATATCCTGTCTGTACAAAACAATCCGATACAAAAATAGTTCAAAAAAGTATAAAAATGAACGAAAAAAAACCTGTTAGATGCAAAACAGTAGGAAAGAATCCCAAGTGATAATCGTTTTGAAAAGCCATTAGGCCGAGAGTTGTCCTTTGTTCAAAATAGTGACCACCGCAGTCGCTCAAACTTGTTGCGAGCTTGCCAACAGAGGGTAGGATTTGTGGTATGCAAAATTTGGACCTTGAACCGGCTACCTTAGACCGATTTTTTTTTGATTCGGGCTGTTATTTGTTTCATGATGCATGGAATGTTTTGTATTTCAATTTTTTGCATGGGACTGTTTTTAGTATGCACCGATAAATATATTTTTTCGATTAAATAAATAATTAAGTTTCGAGAAATTTTTGTTACAATGGCAAGAACCAATCGTACTGGCTCACAACACTTATCCGAAAAAAGTGTAGTTAGTTTCACCAATCTCAGCAATGGTTTGGTTTTCATATGTCTCTTTGAAGATATGTGTACAAAAATTAAGCATTTGTGATAAAAGCAATTAACGTAGTCAGAATCATTCCTGAACTTCAGTGTCATTGTATATGCACTAGTTTGGTCAAGCTTCAGTCTCTACAAGGAAAAAAAACAAATTTAGACTTGGATTTTGTATTGTTCTTGGAATTCAAAAATTTCAATCTGTGAGTATGTGTTATTTGAAATGCGCCTCTTTAACAAGCGCGGTAGATGTTGACGCCGAATATTGTTATTATTTTTTGAACATATGTTAAGATTTTTATAGCAGCTAATGCGAAGTGACGTTTGAAAGAAGGGCACTTGATTTGATAAGGTTAAAATAGTTGAAAAAGATGAAATGAGAAAAATACGCTTGTTTGGAAATTGTCTAAGCTCTTTTCAGTTGTTTTGTTTGCGCAAAAGACCAGGAGTCTTGCGTTGACAGCCATACCAACTGAAGATCTGATTCATCTCAAATTTCCTTCTTTTCCGGCAAAAGAGTTGGACTAAGTTGTCCATCATTTGCTTGTTTGTTTCTTTGTTTGCACTTTTATCGATTTCTCTCCAGTTCAGTTTTTAGGCACTTCCTGACGTGTATTGACGTTGCCGTCAACCGCGCATGGTAGGCTAAGAATGAGACAGCTCTAGTGGATGCGCTGTTAGTCTTAACTAGTGAACCATCAGTTTCATCTTATTTTAGTCTTGTCTTTGAACTGGTCATCTAACTAGTTTGAACTTTGAATTAGTCATAGCTTAGGATATTGTATGCTTTGTGGACTAAAAGTACGTGGTAAATACTGTAAACCTATTTGACCGTGATTGCTTTGCCATTAATTTAAAAATTGAGCTATTAAAGACAACATTTTGCTACTCGGTGAATCCAACCAAGCGAACTCTCAACCAACAATGAGGAGTTCAATCAGGCCTCTGGAAAACGTCAGCTTTCGGATAAATGTTTTAAAAAATTGTTTGAGCGAAATAACCAAAAAAAATTATCCGACAAACTTGAGTGGAGCAAAACTTAACCTAGAGGCAAACAAACTTTAGGCATTGAAGTTAATAAATTGGGTACACTTTTAAACCTTGCACCGGTAGTTGTTTGAACCTATGTAAATACCTGGTAATTGTTCTACAC